TGGGATTTGAACCCTAGACCTGCTACTTGGAGAGGGTGACGACTTGACCACTTCACTAAGCCGCCACACCTCATCTTCTCTATTTTCTCTATTTAAGAAATAATTAATATATTACAGATTTAGGAAATCCTAATATAAAAAAAAATTAGTTAAAATATTGCATATGTTAACGATTATATTATATCGAGACTGTAGCATTTTCGAGTAGCATAAATTTTCTCTTTTATATTGTATAGTACTGCAATTACTTTATTATTTGGACAAACGATACAATTTCAATATTTAAGAAACTCTATCTTAAACAAATCAAGCTTTTCGAAATAACTAAAAGGTTATATAAGAGGGAGATTATAAAGACCAAGTAGATTAAATCAAATTTGATGGATTTTTATACGTATATATTTAACTAATTTGCTTAATAACTGTAGTATACATATTAACAATATTTAAAGAAAAATATTTAGAAAAATGCAAGGCAATCAAAAAAAAAAGCAAATACTAAAAACAGTTTGTGACTATTTACTTGGGCAACTTCTAAAATTATATCCATTGCTGCTACAAATACTATATATATATGTTCTTTTAGTAGCAAGCTTAATACCTAATTTATTGCAATTAGTATTATTTGGTTTTCTTTTCATTTTTACAGTAAGAGGATCTTTAATATCTTCTTGTGTTAAGGGATATTCATCATTCAATTTTTTCACAAAACGAGTAAGTGAATTGTTAATTTTAACATGTCCTACTCTATTAGAAATTGTTCCAATATCTTCAAGTAAATTTGCAATATTTTTAGCAAATACCTTCTCTTGATCAGTAGAAATATCATAAATACTTCAATTAGTAAAAGATATAAACTCAGTTGCAAACTCATCAGTATTGGTTAAATCATGTCCAGGTTGTATTATATTAAATCTTGTCAATGAGATAATCCAATAAGCACTAATATAATCAATACTTACAGCCCTCTTAGGAGAGGGCCATTTATCAGCTAATATTTTGCTACTAAGTGGCTACTCCCTCTCCCTACCTAATCACAAATACTGCAATTTGATTGGCTAAAATTTTTTAAAAATTTAAAAAAATTTTAAACTTTAATATTAAATAAAATTTGA